GTACAATTTCCTTCAAAATTCAATCAGAGACGTTATATACAGACCTACATGGGCAATTTAAAAGTGATTTCCTATGCTCATGATTTTATTATTCAATGCTTGGGTTGACATTTGAATGGAGTTAGCCTGATTACTTACTGTAGATTCTTCTTGATCTTGTAGATTAACCACCCATTTATCTTATTTGAAACTCATTTTCCTGAACCATGTTTCGCCAAGCTCAACACTTAGGTAACTAGAAATGTTCAAAGTTTTTTAAATATCAGAAACACTGTAGGTCCCTTTTTTCCTGGTAGGAGAAACTAGTGTTACAAAAATCTTGTGGTTATCACAGTATTAATCAACAAATTAATTTATTAGACAAAAACTTTTGGACAAGCGTCTCTTTGTACAACCTAGTGTATCTTACAAAAACCAAAAGGAAACAAAAAATATGAAATCACTTAATTGTTGTTCTTTATGCGGGATAAGATTTCTGGAAACGTCTATTAAGTGACGTAGCTTCTATCTTCATGATGTACGCATGGCTTTCACGCTGAAACCTCCAACTCATTATAATACAATATTTGACTTTTATTATAACAAATTGTAGTACACGCAGGTTGAATTTGATCATTAGTAAGTCAAATACCTGTGCTGAGAAATCAATAGCTTAACCAAAAAAATCCCTAAGTGTCACTTCTCTGACATTTCCTCTTAAATGTCATCTATATTTTACTGTTCTGCATTTCAAACCTTTCCAGTACAGTGCTTCCTGAAATGTCTAATACTGAAGAAATCGTTAACACGTCAATTCAGATGCCATATACAACCTGAGCTTATTTCTACAGGTCATTATATAGAAGGTAAAAATACAGCGTAATCTTTCCAGACACATACGCGCACGCACGCACGCACGCACGCACGCACACTCCTAAACACAGGTCTAAATCCCTGAGAAATACACTGGTAATAATTACATTATCCGACATCATTACATAAAACTAGTCCAAACTGAAAGGACTTTAGAAAGATATTTCTGAGAACGATATTTCCATGAAATCTCTTGTCATTATATTATGAAATCAGCCATGAGTCATACACCACAACAAATCTTGACATCATAACAATGCTATTGCCCTATGGACAGCATTATGGGATGCTTGCACACAAGCCTCTTCTGGAGGCGATGTTTTACACAACATACACTATCCATCACCACCAGTGAATTTCATGAGCTCTTAAAAAAGACAGACAGCAAAACAAACACACACACACACACACATACACATTAATATAACAGTATCTTTGTTTCTGAGTCACAGGCTGAGTCCATCTACCTGCTCATCTCTCATTTCCCCTCATTCTCTGAAAAGAAAAAAAAAACGGTTGAGAACTGGGGACTGAGAGCTCTGTATCCTTCACCACCTTCCACCTGCATTACCCTCTACCTTTTAACTGAACAGTGTGCCTAGAAGCTATCGACGGGGTCCTCAATTTGAGACCCAGTGTGACATCCTGCTTCAAGTTGCTCTTTTCAATTAAGCTCTGAGACGCGAGCACAGCCTGCTATCGCACTAATGCCCCCGACGGCACTGTGGAGCATGAGGACACAGGAGAGCATCCAGATATCTCGTCTTCTGCTTGTAACATGCTTAACAATTTACCTCCACATGCAAGGTCAGAAGAAGGGAGAAACAAAAGAAGTGAGGTCTCTACATCTGCCTTGTGTCAGTTCTAGCTTTTTTGCTTGTAAGTTGAAGCTTCAGATATCAATTTCACTGGTGGATATAGTAGAGGTAGACAGTGTGCGTAAGAGAGAGAGAGAGAACAGGCTTCATACATACACACTTTCCCAGACACAAGCTCTTCCTTCTGACAGTCATCCAACACCTCAACGCATCAATCTGACAATGGCCAATCAATGAGATGGCATGCTGGAGCTAGATTAACTGCTCCACTCCTCCATCACTCTACCGCACTCACCTGACTGACTGCATGCTTTATTCCCTGACTTCTTTTTCTCTAAACAGCACCAAGCTAGAAAATCTGGATCAATAATGAGCTGTATCTCACCGTCAGTAACTCTCTCTCTGACACCTTCCACACGCTATCACTGATGCCATCAGATGACACTTTTTATAACCCATGATGCCTCGGTATTACCTGTATCCCTTCTAACACCATCAAATGTCACCTATCTCTGTATTCTCGATCCTTCAGGACCAATATGATTTTTTTTTTTTTTACTGTGATACACACCAGACTAAATGACAACGCTGTACATCCCAGCAGTTCATACACGTGTTTATTGGAAATCGTTTCCTGCGATGAAGAAAATGTGATTCAACCCTTATGCCGTTATAGCCTATAAAGTATTTACAGCTCACAGTGGCAATTTCTGTAACGTCCAAACACACTGCTAACAATACTGCTCCATTTTCTCCCTTTTCTTCCCTATGCAATTCTCAATAACCCTGAATATCGTGAAACAAAGCTGAACATGAACAGGCATCCATCAACCATTACAGGACTGTTAACACATCTACCTGTTCTCTTTCAAGCTGCAGATTGCAGTAGCCAGGCACAATAGCTTTTTTTTCTCACCCTAATGGGGATAATGTTTTATTTTTTTCCCCATTTCAGACTTGAAGGTATTTCAGTCTCTAAATCAAAAGCTCTGAAGGCCACTGCACATTTAATCCAAACTTGAGGAACTGCTCTTTGAGACAAAAGTTAACTATTTAGCCTTTTTTTTTACCAAGTTATTTTTCCCCCCTTGCTTTAAGAACAATGAGTATGTGAAAGACTATATTTGTAAGGTAGCACAGCCCCCTATGTATGCTTATTTATGAGTGACAGGCGAGACACTCTTCTAAAATGTTAGGAAAACTCAGTATACACTGTCATTCAGGTTGTCCCCTTTTCTCTGACATTCCACTACATTCTACACACTGGCCTTAAATCACAGCGCAGCCTGCTATTCTAGAAAATGTGATGTTATACAGCACCAGGATAAACAAATAAATAAATAAATAAATGCCAATCTGCCACTGAAAGTGTCACAATTTGTCAAGCCTGTCGATACAGACTGCTCCCATCTTCCCCACGTCAAACTTCCTCCAACTTTTTCGTGCTGCTCATTTGTCCCATGTCGTCTTCTGCTGGAGCTGAGAGCTTGAACGCTTGAACGCTTCAAATGCAAGTACGGTTATAGGAACTCGCACTTCACACTGACACAGGAGATATTTACGATCACGCAGGCTTTTTTGAAAGTGTGTGTCAGTGCCTGTCAAAGAGAATGATTGCAGCAAGTAGGGCAGAATAAGCACAAGTGTGTGCATGTATTAGAAAAAACATAGTGAGAGCGAGACAGAAAAGATGCTGTGCATACAGATGATATTCTATATAGTTCATTATTGTGTGTGCAATATGCTGTATGTATATATACATCGATCAGCCATAACATTAAAATCACTGACAGGTAAAGTGAATAACATTGATTATCTCGTTACAATGACACTTGTCCATGTCAGTTCTCGAAGTTGATGTGTTTCCAAGCAGGAAAAATGGATAAGCATAAGTATCTGAGCAACTCTAAAAAGGGCCAAATTGTGATGGCTAGACGACTGACTCCCTGATGTGCGTAGGGAGTGAAGGCTAAGCCTGTCTGGTCCGACCCCACAAAACATTTACATTTACGGCATTTGGCAGACACCCTTATCCAGGGTGACTTACAATTAACTCATTTATACAACTGAGGAGTTAAGGGCCTTGCTCAAGTGCCCAGCAGTGGCAGCTTAGTGGTGCAGGGATTTGAACTCTCAACCTTCCGATCAGAAGGCCAACATTTTAACCACGGAGCTACCACTTCCCATAGAACAACTGCAGCACAAATTGCTGAAAAAGTTAATGCTGGCTATGACAGAAAGGTGTCAGAACACACATTGCATCGCAGCTTGCTGTGTATGGGGCTGTGCAGCCACAGACCTATTACAGCGCCCATGCTGACCCCTGTCCACCACCGAAACCATCAGAATTGGACCATGGAGCAATGGAAGAAGCTGGCCTGGTCTGATGAATCATGTTTTCTTATACATCATGTGGACAGCTGGGTGCGTGCACGTTGCTTATCTGCTGGGAGACGTTGGGTCCTGGCATTCATGTGGATTTTACTTTGACACGTACCACCTACCTAAACATTGCTGCAGACTGAGCATACCCCTTCATGGCAACGGTATTCCCTAATGGCAATGGCCTCTTTCAGCAGGATAATGCACCCTGATATACTGCAAAAATTGATCAGGAATGGTTTGAGAAACATGACAAAGAGTTCAAGGTATGAATATGATTGAGCATTAACGGATTTGCTGCCAACGTCTTGGTGCCAGATACCACAGCACACCTTCTGGTATCTTGTGGAGTCTTGTGGAGTCCATACCTTGACGGGTCAGAGCTGTTTTGGCAGCACAAATGAGACCTACACAATATTAGGCTGGTGGTTTAATGTTCTGGCTGATCGGGGTGTTTGTGTGTGTGTTTGGAAAAGCATTTGAGAATGAGTGACCACAGACGTGTACTTTTCCTCACCGATCATTCTGCCCATGATAGAGCGAGTGTTGACTGGGTCGTCCAGGCCCTCGACAGCTCCGGGGTATAGAGAGTGAGAGATGCGTCGCTCGTGATCCTCATGAGAACGGTTCAGTGACACCTCAGACACAGATGGACTTCTTGCACCGTCCTGCTAAGACAAAACAGTTATTAGTTAAAGACAGATGCAAAGAAAACCTGCAACCTCCAAGACAGTGGGTTTTTTTCCCCTAGAAGTGACATGTGGCCAAGTATGGTGACCCATACTCAGAATTTGTGCTCTGCATTTAACCCATCCAAGTGAACACACACACCCGGAGCAGTGGGCAGCCTTTTTTTTTTTTTTTTTTTGGCAGTTGGGGGTTTGGTGCCTTGCAGGTACTGAGGATGGAAGAGAGCACTGGTCATTCACTCCCCCCACCTACAATCCCTGCCAGACCTGAGACTCGAACCCACGACCTTTGGATTACAGGTCCGACTCTATAACCATTATGCCACGACTGCCCCCGGCACGACTGTGTTGCTCATATGAATGGGCAAGATGCTTATTGAAATGATCAATATGTTAATAAAATAAAACAAATGACTGACACAATAAATAACAATACATATATACAACATGCACATATATACAACAAGCTAGCCCTGCACTGCCGTCCCTGGTTCAGTCCTGAACTCAGGTTACTGTCTGTGTGAACTTTTCACACTTCTCCATGTGGGTTTCCTCCAATCTCCCAAAAACATGCAACTCCAAATTGCCCCTAGGTGTGAATGAGTGTTTGAGTGAGTTTGTGCACGGTGCTCTACAAAGAGCTTGTGCCATGGTCAAAGAAACTTTAACAAAGATGTGCTCTTCCTCTGTTAGAGGAAAATAATCAACTTTGGGATGGTAATAATTTGGGTCTAACGCAAAGCAATTTTCTGCCGGGTAGTAATTCAGGAAGGAAGGAAGGAAGGGAAGTCAAAAAGGTAGGAAACACAGAAGTCAGGAAGACAGGAAAGAAAGTCAAGAAGGTAGACAGGAGGGAAAATCAGAAAGGAAGTCAGAAGGGTAGTCAGGGAGGAAGTAAATCAGCCAGGAATGTTGTCTGAAAGGGAGGGAGGGAGGGAGGAAGGAAGTAAGGAAGTTAAGGCAGGAAGGTAGTCGAGAACGAAGGTAGTTGGGAAGGAAGGAAGTCAGAAAGATGGTCAGGGAGGGAGGGAGCTAGGGAAGATGGAAGTCAGGAAGGAAAGAAGTAAGGATGAAACTTCATCTGCTCAGCTGAACTAAAGCACTCTTCCAGTCGAAGACAGCATGGATTTCCCATCGCCAATTCCACTCAGCAGTCATGCTAAAGAGCCTGCTCAGAGGTCAGTGTATTGCATTAGTGATCCTCCAGCATACCAGTCACTTTCTCTAAGTGTCAGTCTTCAGTGAACACCTCGAGGACGTGAGAAGAAAAAGACCCATCACTTTACACTAATGGAGGAGAAGAAGTGGCTTTCCAAAGGCCATTCTGAACATTACAGTGGCAAAAGCTTTAAGTGGGGACATTAATGTCAGAAGGTTTCGACTTTTACAGTCTTAGAAAAACAAGCATGCAGGTATTCTTAGGCAGCCATATTACCCTGCCAAATGCAGCAGAGATTCATGATATGCATTATACTGCACACTTGCAGACAGATACTGTATGTGAAGCACATGCAACTACAACTTGTGAAAACTTGGAATTATTTCTGCATGAACACATTTACATTTATGTCATTTGGCAGACGCCCTTATCAAGAGCGACTTACAATTATCTCATTTATACAACTGAGCAGTTGAGAGTTAAGGGCCTTGCTCAAGGGCCCCGCAGTGGCGGCTTAGTCACGCTGGGATTTGAACTCTCAACCTTCTGAGCAGAGGTCCAACGTCTTAACCACTGAGCTACCACTTCCCTAACACAAGCATTCGGGCCAAGTGTGAAAATGCTCTTTGTAGTTTTCCCCACTAAGGGACAAGACACAGATTCTACGTAATATATGCATATGAACAGACACACACTACATCGACACTAGGGAGAGGTGGAAATGGATTGGCTCTAGAAACTGGCAACTCCAATAACTTGCAAAGATGGAGTGGGTGGGAATCAACAGGGTCTGAGCAGACCCCAGCGTAGTGTGAAATAGTGAGAGTGCGCACACACACACACACACACACACACACACACACACACACACACACACACACACACACACAAACCCCAAAATCAAGCTGCCCTCCATTCCATAGTGTGAATCTGTTGGCTCTGGAAGGAGATTCCCTAGTGTGAGGGTAGCAATGAGAGAGAAAAGTGCCTGCTAATGATATTTAATGCCCCTCTATGGAAACATCTGTGAAATCCCGATAGTGATCCATGTGAAGTCTCAGGGCGAGAAAAGGGGCCTGCTCTCATTTCATTGGCTGTCATCTTCACTGGAGCTGCGTGTGAATAGCTAAATATAATCAGAGCTTCCTGTGGATGCAGCACAGACTAGGAGCATTAACACAAGAGAGGGATTGAGACAGAGACTCAAATGTGGTCTGTGTAAATACGTGGTCTGAGTAAGAGTATGGCATGGCGAGGAGTGTAGACTCTCACTATTTACCAACCCTATAGGTCTAACACTGACTGACACCAATCACAACAGCTGCAAGGCCTTTAGCCACCTGCTGTCCTGCGTGAGAACCTCCGCAGGACAGACCAAAAAAAAAAAAAAAAAAAAGGAAAAAAAGGCTGCTTTACAAAAACAAAAAATGGCATACTGTTTGATAAATAAGATTCTATAGGAATTCATTCTAATCAACAAGTAATGCTCTTTAAGCATATTTTACATGTATCTAATAGCACAGCATTGTTGACTTCTCAATTCTGATTGGTCAAAGGCTTTTGAGTAATTTTCTGCATCTCTGACAAGTTGCTGGTTTATATATGTGATCACTGTAACACAATATCATTTCTATAGCAAAAGCTCATTTGCAAGGATGGTGTATGGTGGACTTTAATAACAACTGAATAACAAACTGATTTAAAAAAAAATGTTATTTAACAAAGAAAAACTTATTGATATGGTGAGGCTTCCTCTAAAAGGACATTCATTTACACTTTGGGATGTGTGGTTATAGGAAGATTATCAGCTTTGGTGTGGTAATGGTCCAACGCAAAGCAGTTTTCTTTATTTTGCTACCTAATAGCTGTAACATTTGTAACATCCTGCCTGCTTTGCGTCACACCACCCATTTTTGCTTATTTACCTCATTGTGTTTTATTACTTGCTTTAAAAAGAATATGAATATGCAGTATAATACATAATCAGGACAGTTTGCAAGTCACTAAAAAGAAACAAAAATACATTATAACTTTCCTAGAGCTGGGAAATATGGAAAAATAAATTATGATTAATATTTCAGTAAAATACCTCAGTAATGAGTATGTGAAACAATGTTCTTACAAACTCGCTTATTATTCACGTTTACACATAATCTGTCCTACTGAACGCTTACACATTCATCATATTTAATAAAATTAAGCAGAAGGATTTAACAGCAGCCTGTGGTTCAGTAAACAGTAAATCTTAGCACTTTCACTTCACTTTTACACTACCTGCTACCTCTTCTCTCTCTCTCATTTTTTTTTCCTTTAAAAAAGTGACTATGTGCTTAAAGAGAGTTGAAAATATTGTAGCTGTAATTAAACTATTAAAAGATACAATTTTCTGTATTAACACTGATAAAAAAGTGAAATGTTGGTTTTAGTATAAAAATTAATTATCACCTAGCTCTATCTCTAATAAAGTTAATTAGCGGTTCAGACAAGATAGCACTCTTGATAAATTAACACCCTTAGCTAAGCATGAAAGAGGACACAGAACACTAAACTCATCAGCAGATAGCTAACTGGTGCTTTATTCCATTAGACAATCATTTACATCGTTTACTGTGTCCATCCATTTCACATATGCTAGCAGTGCATTGTGGGAAAACAGATGGGCCACTGAGACTACACTGTACTAACAGTTATAAATAACTATCATGAAGTTTGGGATGTTTATTAAAATGTCTGTTTGTTATATTAGCATTAGGAGCAGAGTCATCGTCAGTAAAACTCAGTCCGAGATGATCCACCGGAGTCAGTTCCAGCGTGGAGGTGATCATCTCCATGACTGCAGCAGCAGTAGCAGCATTAGCCAGGGGACCCTGTACTATTTATTAGAGATGAGAAATTTAATGAAGTCTGGAGCTGGCTTCATAAGAAAAGCAGACTCGCGTCGCATGGATGGGGTCAATGCAATTACAACAGCACTGTGATGACGGCACCCAGGCTTATTGTAAAGTCTGACCTCAGCGAGCTTTCAATTGTAAAATCGGGGTTTGTTTTATGAACTTTTTCTCAACTGCTTTAATCTTTCAGCAGACAGAGAATGAGATTTGATAAAATATTAGCTTTGACAGGAGACAAGGTATGAAGATTTAGATATTGAGATGTTTTGTTTGTGAGTGAGTAGCAAAAAAAAAAGTTTATTAGCCTGTTTATTTGTCCCATTCCCACCTTAACATTACCCCTCCATCGTCTCTCTCTCAGACTAGATTAAGCATTAAGAGGTGAATGGATTAAGATACTGGAATCCGTTGAGAGACCATTATGAAATCTTGCCATTCCTCACATTCTATACACGCTTCTCATTCTGAGGCCTGTTGTTAATAACTGGCCTCAGTGCCCTCGTGGAAAGGCTGACAATTGGTTCTGTGTCTACTGAGAACACTTCATGATCATAAGCAGCACAGCAGATTTGCAGATCTTGCAGGAAAAAAAAAAAAGTTTGGTATCCAAGATGAAGGTGACTATAAAAGAAAATTTGCACGACTCTGAGCTTCAGACAAATTTTTACTTCAGACGGTTTAGTAGTTAGAAGATTTTTCCTATTAAATTTTAAAATTGATACATTTTTTTCAAGTAAAAAAGACATGCATTTATTCAGACACTTTTGATATGTTTCACACTTGAACATGATTTTCTCCCAAATATTTAAATTCAAATAGTACTTGAACGGTGAAATTAATTCCAGCTGCCATAACACACAGAGCCTGTGAACATGAAGGCCTTGTTTATGAGGATTTATTCTCACTGCCCTCTCCTCTCAGGACATAATTACAGGTCTTAATGTGTCACATGCAGCATGTGCTAGACAAACCCTACAGAGGCTCAGCCAGGTCATTAGCCCTCCTCACATCCCTCTATCCCTCCATCCTTCTCGTCTCGTTCTTGTGCTGGTGTAAATACATTAACATGTGCTGATGTGAGTGGACTACAGCTAATACTGTGTGCTCTGTGTGGCTCAGGCCTCAGTGCCGCTGCAGAAATGGCTCATCACTAAATCACAGCTAAGCGTATGTTTGAGAATAAATTAGATTACTTCAGGAATTTTCAGTGGGGGAAAAAGGCATTGTCTCTAACCAAAATAATAATAAAAAAAATACTGTGATTTAGTAAAATCAGTAGCAGT